AAGATTGTGGTTAAAATTTCTGCGGTCATTTATATACTAATCCGGAAAGATCCACGTTAAAAATTACTTTTATATTCACTGAGGGCGGTCCCCAAAACGTGACCTCTAGTGTTACTTGCCGAAATTCAAAAAAAATTTTTCGGTTTATTTAGACAAATGAATTTCGACGGCCATTTGTTAAAAAGATTACTTATGTTTCGATGATTACTAAGTGAATTTCAACGAGATACTTTACATCTACCGCAGCACACATTTTACATTTTCTAAATGATCTCTAAATTTGAGAAAAATTTTAAACTATCTAGGTTTTTTCTGAGATATCTTGGAAACATTTAGGCAATTGAGTTTTTTCCAAACTTTGAGCGAAGATATTTCAGTAAAACCTAGTCTACAAACGTTAAATGATGTTACTCAAATTACTCGAAACGTCCCGAACTATGGGTTTTTACTGCTTTGTCCTTACTATCAAAATATTATGTGATACTAATCACACGGTTTGAGGCGTCTAGAGCAGTTTACGTGTCGGCTTGTATAATTACTCTTATGCTGCGGCGGAGGTCACGTTACATCACTTTTTTAGGATGATTTGATCAGCTGCACAATATAATCTTCTCAATTGCGCAAAATTCAATAATTTTAACGTATGAGGTACACATGAAAACACCTTTGTAATAACCAGTAATTATGATATATGATTGGAAAAGCGTTATTGCCTATATTTTCTTATGTTCTCTGAGATTAATTTGTGCTTTATCGACTGGATATATTCATCCCGATGAATTCTTTCAATCCCCAGAAATTATGGGCGGTTCGTATTTTGATAAATCTTTTTTATCATTGATTGACATTAATTATTAATAAAAGAACATTTGATAATAGGTGATGTATTTGGGTTTGAGGTATTTAGGCCTTGGGAATTTGAAAAATATCCACAATGTCGTTCTATAGTCATTCCGTAAGTAGTTAATATTGGAATTATATTTGAATGGTGATTCTTCCATTCTAATTTATTGCATTAATAATAAAAATTAGGGCTTTGACCGTCGGATTGCCATTTAAATTTTTAAAAATTTTGAATAGTCTGAGAACAGGATTAGGATTTACTGGTACATTGATTGTTTAATAGACGCCTTTTAAACTTATCGTAAAATTATAGCTAATTATCACAATAATTACATAGATATCATTAATTCATATTCCATTTTCATGACACAAAGACTTAGTTTCTTTGTCTTGTCATTCGTGATAGGTATGTTTACGCCATTTTTCTGTAATAAAATAAATACAATGCTAATTTGAATTGCTGATTAATAGATTACACTGGCTATACGTTAGCCAAATTGTATTATCCGAGAAATGCTATAAAATCCTTACTTGTTTTCGCATCATCGTATGTTCTTCTTATATACCATACTCGGCCTTTTTCAAACACCATCGAATCTGTCATATTATCACTTTGTTATATTGTATATATAAAAGCAACTACATCAATTGAGCCTCAAATTCGAAAACAAGGCATGTCTTCTTCAGTAAAGGTATTGGCTTCTTATACAGTGAAAACATTTTATTGCATTCAAAAGATGAAGTATGAATAATAATACGGTTTCATTGTAGTGATCCAGTTGTAATTGATGAATACTTTTAATACTTTTTAAATTATTTCATTTTATCTTCATAATTATTTTTTATAGGAAGAAATTTCTGTGAATCATGCATTTCTTTTGGGCTCTCTTATATCTCTGGGTATTTTTACTAGGGTCACATTTATACTTTACGTATTTCCTGTCGTACTAGCTGTACTTTATCATATATTTCTTTCTCCCAGAACTCTGAACAAAAATTGGTATATAATTATTCCATACAAGCATATACGTATTTGTTTAAAATGTTTACAGGTAACTTATACCACTAAATTTATGAAAATCATCAAGGTCTGAGAAGTTTCAAGAATTGATTCCTTTGGCATTTGGCATATGCCTCATAAGCGCAATTTGTGTTATGATCGATTCTTTATATTTTGGGACGTTAAAACTGATGTATAATGGTGTTTTGTTGACTAAACACCATATATTTGAATTTTTAAGTAATCCAATAACATTACTTAAAGTTGAGTGGCAGGTGAAGATTACTAAACCAAACCATTCAAATCATATACATACACACATATATGTATAATAATTATATGCTTATGCTTTCCTTATAGGGAAGGCTAATATTTACACCGTTAAATAACAT